GTGCGAATCGTTAACGCTTAAGTGTGTACTTTACTGTCCATCAGATAGTAATCCTTGAAAATGTCACCAATCTTTATAGATAAAGTGGCAACCGCCAATCCCAGCCTCGAGATGCTGATTGTCTTCTTTGGTTTCACGCGAGCCTTTCGCATAACAAACGAAACGGTGTTCTTGAGGAATTGAGTTACTGATATTCTATATACAAAGCTAAAAGATTAGGAAAGAATTATCATAATGTTTAAACCAAACGTTTTCGGCTGTTTGCCATCATCAGCGTTCAAAATAAGTTTATGATGTTTTCTGTGTTTCCCGAAAAATTATTGAAGTAGAATCCTCCCTTTTCAAAAACTGGCTCGTCATTCTCGCAAATTTAAGAACATCGTAACCTTTCTCACCTTTACCTGAAAACACATCTGTTCTACGCCTGCCGTAAAGGCGTACTTCTCTTATCGTAATCTGGTTAGAGCGTCAACTAAGTTGCTGGTAACATCTGGTATTTAAAGGAATTCTTATTCAAGGAGTGTCCTTCGAATGTCGCCGAGCAATCGAAAACCACTTGAACTTTCGTTGGTTTATGCGGGCGATAGATTCCAAGGAATCGTTCTACCGGAAGTCGATTTGCGGTTAAGTCGTCTCGTGATACCGAAAGTGTGAATAAACTATCTCTCATGACATGGAAGCGCATACCGTAAGTGCATTTGCAAGACTCTTAGAAAATATTCCGCAAGTGGCTACAATGGGGGAAGGGGAGGGGGGTGGGGGGATGAAGATATTGTCATCACCATTTGACTCGAATCCAACGACTCCTCTCAGAAAATGTCGAACCGTGTGGCTATTGAGCTCCACAACTAGATCATTTTAGCGAAATCGGCACGGCTGATGTTAACTTATCAATACCGTAGCCATCGACTTCGTACAATTTGAACTAGACTGATGGAGATCATGAAATTAAAGCTCAGCAATAATAATTTAAAGATGAAACAACTTTAGGTAATAAGAAAAAATCCAAGTCCCAGATGGGATTTGAACCCACGACCCTCCATCATCTAGTCGGATACTCTAACCACGAGTTACTGGAGACTCTATGGTGAGCAAGGGTCAATTTGTAGGACTACACTGGAACTGCATCGTGCGGTTACACAGCCAAGTATTGACGAACGGATATGAAACTCACTAACAGCATCGCGCTGTCACATTAAAGCATATCAAGATGTGGCCAACCAACCTCCAAAGTGAGCATGTAAAGGTGAAACAATTTAATTTAATAAGAAAAAAATGTAACAAGAAAAAATCCAAGTCCCAGCGCGATGCTGTTAGTAAGTTTCATATACGTTGGTCAATACTTGGCTGAGTAGCCGCGCGATGTGGTTCCAGTCGGAACCACAAATTGACCCTTGCTCACTATAGTTTCCAGATGCTCAGTGGTTAGAGCATCC